CAGATGGGGATAATTAGGCCAGTATGAAGTTAAAGCTTTAACTCTTTACAAGGCAGCAAGGCCGCAGGGGGCCCCTCGCAGCTCCATCCCCTCCCTGGCAGCCAGCCCGCTTCGTTTGTGTACAGGTACCAGTTTCTGGAGTGCTAGGAAATCTCCTCGCAAACCAGATAAAAGCATTTTTTGCAGATTACTCATGCCCACCATGGCCACCAGCCAAAAAGATCCGGCACCAAGCGGCAGGGCTAGCCGCAGGCTGGGCTTCGACCACAGAACAGCTCCCGCTGCCGGGCAGAGCGCGCCTTCCGTGACAGCCACCCCCAGCCTGGATCGGCCGCATCCAGGTCAACGCAGGCTGAGGAAAAAAATCAAACCAAGCCAGTGCTTTTAACAGGTATTTATTATAAAACACCAAAATACAAACTGAAAATATAAAACATTATAAAAAATGGACATGCTGTAGTATCTACACGGGATGCATGCCCAGGGCCTCCCCAAGCTCTGCAGCACCCAGGGCTTCTGCGACCGCCCCGGCTCCTGCCCGTCTCCGCACAACACAGATCCCACGGTCCAAGGTCCCCAAGGCTTTAGGTGTAATCATACTTCCGCCTCTTGAAATGCTTCTTTTTCAGCTTCCCAGACCCCAAGATGCTGTAGTTATAATCAGACGTGACATAGGGGATCTCTCCCTCGACTCCTTGCTGGGAGGGGAAAACCAGAAAGCACTAAGAACCTCCAGTCTCCAGCGGAGCAGGAGGCCCTTTCCTCTGCAGGCTGACAGGGCTCACAGGCAGCAAGGAGCCTGCTGCCACTGAGCAAGCCCCACTCTGGCATCTGAAACACGACGAGAACGTTCTCTTCTCCCTTGTTTCTATGCATTAAGGAAAACTTCCTAGAGAGATAACCATCTGCTAACGCCCAGACATCTTCAGGCACGCACAAGCCCCAAAGAAGAAGATGGAAAACCCACCCGCCAGCCAAAGCTCAGCCGGCTCCCACCCTCCTCCGCACAGCTCCTACCTGGTCCACGAGAACACAGATCGGGATGGCAATATTTCCAAGGAGCAGACAATTCACTTGTCTCAGGCTCTCCGGAGGCACCGGCGTCAGAACATGGTAAAGCTTCTTCTCCATCTCAACCCCTCGGACAATTCCTGAAAAGAAACGCACGCAAACAAAGCTCAGCCTGAACCCCACCCCAGCGCTTCGGGCTGTACAGCCAGCTGCAGCCAAAGCTCTTACAACAAACAGCTCTTCCAGAACCAAGAGAAGGACTTGAGACACATCTTAAGAAAAACCTGTCTTGCTGTTCCCTGTTCTTCCCGCGCCTCGGCACACGCATGACCATCTGAAACCCAGGGCTAGCCGCAGGCTGGGCTTCGACCACAGAACAGCTCCCGCTGCCGGGCAGAGCGCGCCTTCCGTGACAGCCACCCCCAGCCTGGATCGGCCGCATCCAGGTCAACGCAGGCTGAGGAAAAAAATCAAACCAAGCCAGTGCTTTTAACAGGTATTTATTATAAAACACCAAAATACAAACTGAAAATATAAAACATTATAAAAAATGGACATGCTGTAGTATCTACACGGGATGCATGCCCAGGGCCTCCCCAAGCTCTGCAGCACCCAGGGCTTCTGCGACCGCCCCGGCTCCTGCCCGTCTCCGCACAACACAGATCCCACGGTCCAAGGTCCCCAAGGCTTTAGGTGTAATCATACTTCCGCCTCTTGAAATGCTTCTTTTTCAGCTTCCCAGACCCCAAGATGCTGTAGTTATAATCAGACGTGACATAGGGGATCTCTCCCTCGACTCCTTGCTGGGAGGGGAAAACCAGAAAGCACTAAGAACCTCCAGTCTCCAGCGGAGCAGGAGGCCCTTTCCTCTGCAGGCTGACAGGGCTCACAGGCAGCAAGGAGCAAGCTGCCACTGAGCAAGCCCCACTCTGGCATCTGAAACACGACGAGAACGTTCTCTTCTCCCTTGTTTCTATGCATTAAGGAAAACTTCCTAGAGAGATAACCATCTGCTAACGCCCAGACATCTTCAGGCACGCACAAGCCCCAAAGAAGAAGATGGAAAACCCACCCGCCAGCCAAAGCTCAGCCGGCTCCCACCCTCCTCCGCACAGCTCCTACCTGGTCCACGAGAACACAGATCGGGATGGCAATATTTCCAAGGAGCAGACAATTCACTTGTCTCAGGCTCTCCGGAGGCACCGGCGTCAGAACATGGTAAAGCTTCTTCTCCATCTCAACCCCTCGGACAATTCCTGAAAAGAAACGCACGCAAACAAAGCTCAGCCTGAACCCCACCCCAGCGCTTCGGGCTGTACAGCCAGCTGCAGCCAAAGCTCTTACAACAAACAGCTCTTCCAGAAACAAGAGAAGGACTTGAGACACATCTTAAGAAAAACCTGTCTTGCTGTTCCCTGTTCTTCCCGCGCCTCGGCACACGCATGACCAGCCAACCTCCCCGGCTGCCGATCCTCGTTCACTGCTACGCTCCCACAGCGACCCGCGGAGCTCCCTACCACGTCAGCACTGCGGCACCAACCCGAGCCGCAGCGGGAAACTGGCAGACAGCTGCAGGCATTCTGCACGAGCCACGCGGGATCTGCTTTCGAGAAGGTGAGTCCAGAACGCCAGCCGATTGCTGAGTTACGGCAGAGAGGGAGAAGCAAGCTACAGAAGGCACCGCTCAGCAACACTCCCCATAGCTGCTACCACAAGTTAACGAAAGCCAAAGGACTTGAAACGCAGCTTGTAGCAGAAGGGAATGCACGATTATTCTCTTATCACATCCCACTTCCCCAGTTGTTTTTGAGAGAGCAGGCAATTCCATCACGTTACCACCTGTCTGTCAGCACGACAGGGGAGAAGGCAGCTCAGGGTTTCCGGGCTGGCTCACCGAAGCCGAGGCAATCGCAGAGCGGCGTCTGGGTCAGCAGGACAGGCCCGTCGCCTTGGCTGCGGACGTCTTCTGGTATCGTGCAGAGCCCGACCCAGCTGGCGTTCACCGCATACATGATGTTGGTAGGAGCAACGTCAGTGTGAACAACCCTGAGCGCAACTGCACTGAAAGGTACCTGAGGGGGTAAAACGAGAAGAAAACCCCTGTATCATCGGCTCAGCACCAATCCAGAGATAAGATAACGCTGAGTACACAAACCCTGCGAGCTCCCAGCCCACGCCTGCAAACACACACCAGCTCAGTAGCCAAGACAACAGTTTCAACACCAGCAACTGCGCACACAGAAGACACGTGCAGACACATGCCACGCTGACATCTCAGCAAGAACCTCACTTGTAGACGCACTGAATAGTCACTATCTTTCTGCAGATTACAGAGCATTTCTCCCTCTTCTGAAAAACATCTGCAGTACAAGCAGAACTGTCCACAGCTCCAAACCAGGCTCTCTGCAAGAGCCCCAACCCTTCCAAAATCACTCTTTTACCTGGTAGGGCACAAGGCTGTTCAGCGGCAGCACCGCCCCGACGTCCGGGGACTGCAGCTGGCCCAAGTAGCCCAGGATGGACATGTCACGCAGGATGCCGCTGTGCACTCGCCTGGACAGAGAACCGCAAGGCAGCACACCCTCAGCTGGCGATTCAAACCGGGCACCCCGCACAGCCCCCAGCACGCCACGCAGCATTACCTGACAGTTCACACAAGTTTAGTTTTTGAAACTTCTACCACTGAAAAAAATGTAGAGCTGTTTTTTTATTACCTCTAAGGGCTCACAGGATTTAGGGCACTGTTTCACCTTTAAAAATGCATTAATTAACAAGACTGGTGTTTGTTTGTGTGTTTTTTTTTTTTTTTTAAAAGTCTGTTATTAGAGAATGGGTAAGGAACCTCTCAATTAGAAAAAAAAAAAAGGAGACATAATACTAAATGATTCCAAGTGGACATCACACCCAGTATAAAAGTAACTGACAGTCATCACTGGGAGTAGGAAGGAACGACCCCCTCCTCAACCCAAAAGACCCAACCATACACGGACCTCTCCCCAAGCACCACCACCTCCCCAGGCACCACCCAAACATAACCCCCTCATAAGTATACTAATAAGCTCTGACCAATTTAATAGCGCTCTCGAGGCCAAAGCAAAGCAAGAGCCTTTACCATCAGGACCAGACGTGATTTCGTTATGCCCACACCACATAGTGCTAAACTTTCTACTTACGCTTCACCTGCAACCCCTGCTCGAGGGAATTCTGGATGCACGTACAGCAACTTGTGCTCGGGAGCTGAAGCATCCCCCTCCCCTTCCGCGGACTTCCAGCTCTCCGCTCCGCTCGTACCCACGTGCTTGGCTTGCTGTCTGCCCTTGGTGTAGAGGCCAGGGGCGAGATGGACGTACTCGGGGGTGAGCGGGGCCATGGCCTTCCAGTCGTACACATCCATCTGAACAATGTGACTGGGCGACAACAGCCGAATGATATCAATCAGAAGCAGCAAGCCCTCACCTTTAGGGAGCAGAGAAAACACGATTGCTGCCACTAGCTACACAGGCCGGAACGCTGTCACGCACGGTCAGCACCAGCTCAAGGAGGGTGAGCTGTATTTTCTGGCTCCAGACTCTCCAGAAAGCGTGGTGGCGTGCCACTACGACTATTACCTTCCTCCTGCAGCGCCTCTTGAGAACAGACTTCTCCTGCTTACCTTTCACCCAGCCCATGGTGTTGACGACCAGAGGCACTTCCTTCTTGTAGGAGCTGAACACATACTTCATGACATCCAGGTACCTTTCTGTGTCCTGCTCACAACTGGTCTGTCCGTAATACACCATCTTACGTGGCGTTTGTTGATGAGTGAACGGTGGACCTGAAAAGGCAAACAGCAAACATCTAGTTGTTTCAGTAAGTCAAATCAAAAAACTCCCATCCCTGTAGCACCTACATGCAATCCCTCCCCAAATAATCTGTCCTCTTTTCACCTGCCAACAGTCCTTCCTATGCAGCCCGCACCCACGGAGACACTTTTCTGTCACTTGCAAGACTGGGTGCCAGGAGTTTTGTTTGTTTGGGGTTTTTTTCTGGTTTGTTTGTTTTAAATCACTGGTTATACACTTGCGAATTTCAAAATAGTATTCTATCACAGACTATCCAAAAAGTAAACCAGTCTGGCCATATCCTTTTTAGACAGCAACCCAAACCCACAAGACCACAAATACCAGCAACTTCTCTGGCTCCAGGGTGGTGGTTTTTTTTTCTGTGTATGTCTGTGTGTGTCTGAGTGTGTTTTCTCTTTCTTTCTCCCCCCTCCAAACAACAGCCCCCAACCCACGCAGATCCACTTTGCATTTCTCAACCTAGTTTTATCTACGAATAGTAACAACCAGAAGATTTTCCCAAAGAGACCTTTCAAACCCTAAAGGCTGAAAATCCACTTTGACATGCCACAGCCTGTTCCACCTTATAAACAACTACCCTCTTTCTTTAAAACAGAAAAAAAAAGACGGGAGAATGGCATCATGTTACTTTGTGAGATTTTCACATGGAGCTTAGATGCCCCTAGCAAGGAAACTGTAACAGGCTTTGTTTTATTTTCTATATGAACCTTTGACAGACGTGGTAACTTCCCCTAAAGGACAGCCTCTACTCAGAAAGCACCTTTTGGAAATGAAACCAGTTTCTGGCAACTGCAGAAAACAGCAAAACACGTACCGAGAATTGGCTCTGTTACGGTACTTAAAGATACGCATCCAGGCGGCGTAAATTCGGCCTGACCTATGTCACATTCCATATATTCAACCGAGGGAAGGCTGCAGTGAAAGAAACCCATGTTTTAGCATCCACTAAAAGACCAGAAACAGGCCACGACCCGAAACACATCAGAAGCATGACCTGATTTTGTTCCAGGACATCAGAACTAAACTCCTGAATACAGCCAAATCACCACTTGCCTCTCCCCTTCCATCCAGAGGGTGTCAAGCAAGAACGTAGAAGACTCACCTGCAGTTCGATATTGTATTACAACAGCTCCATACCCATCTAGCTTTAAGGGAAGCAGCTAGAACAATCACCAGAGGTGGTACCAACCAGTGCACCGCCTCTCCCACGTTAGCTGGGCACCCTGAGACCAGCCATTTGAGATTTATAAACTTTATAATCCTTGTTTTAAGCATGCAGCAGTCCAGAGAATAAGCTTCTACACCTCGCTCTGCCAAGAATCTTCAAAGACACTAACAAATTATAGCTTACTGCATGTTTTTAAGCACTGTAACTCCCAGTTCCTTACTGAGCCTTAACTGCTCAGTGCCCAATTAGTTCATATACTCCAAGACAGCAATTTAGGAGTATCTCAACAGAAATGTTTCGGGAGTCAACTTTTCTGAAAGGAACCCAAGACAAGAACACCTCTCTTTCTGAATTTTTGTTTGTTTTAGAAGATATCCACCTTCCAGTCATAACAGCTGTTCTGAGAATCTTGGCAGGCAGGTTTTCTTCCTTCTCCTAAATCCCATGCAGTACTTAAAAACTTGTAGAACACGAAAGGACTCACTGATTCAGTAACAGATTAATGAGGTATCTGCTAAACGTCGATTTCCCAGTATTTTTTGGGCCACACACCAGAATCAGGGGGACGCCTTCATCTTCCGCTGGAAAAACAAACACACTCTGAAATGGACCAACGCTGTCAGTTATTCTGATGTGCCCTGTTTGCATGAAACTGTTTTTTAAAAAAAGCCCAAAAAAGCCTACAGGCTCTGTGGTCTGACTGGAACGTATCTTAATGAAACGGAAAAAAAGAATCCATTAGAGAAGCACGTTAAGTGCACCAGTGCAACGGGAACAGGCTCCCGACGCGAGAAGCAAGCCCCAGTGCTACAACGCAGCACGCAGAACCCGCGGCACCTTGCTGCTGCTGGGTGGGTGCGGGGGTGTTGTTTCCCATCTGCTACAAGAGAGCGCAAAGTGCGAGTCCCGATGTCACTGGAAAGCACCCTCGCAGCGGCAGCAGCTGTCCGGAGACGCGCAGACCCCCGCGAGGTGACGTGCGGGCTCGGGACCCCCACTATGTCCGTGACAACCACGGCCCCCAGCCCACGCTCTGCTCGGCTCTGCCGAC